GTCTGCCAGGCTCCAGGGAAGGGGCTGCAGTGGGTCTCAGATATTAGCAGTGATAGAAGCAGCACAAGCTATGCAGACTCTTTGAAGGGCCAATTCTCATCTCCAGAGACAATGCCAAGAACACACCGTATCTGCCAATGAATGGCCTTGGAGCCAAGGACACAGCCATGTATTACTGTTCAAGCGACACAGTGAGGGGCCGTCAGGGTGAGCCCAGACACAAACTTTCCTGCAAGGACACAGGAGGGGCTGGGCTGCAGGGGCGCTCAGGGCCCCAGGGGGACTCTCACTCAGGTCACCAAGGGGCGTTCAGGTCACCAAGGGACCCTCTGGCCACCAGAGGGAGCTCAGGTCCCAACAGGTACTCAGGTCACCAAGAGTCACTCAGAACACCAGGGGGCTCTTAGGTCTCCAGGGAGTACTTAAGACAGCAGGATCCTTCAGGGCACTTGGGTGCTCAGGACACCAGGGGGCACTCAAGATCCACAGACACAAATCAGACCCAGAAGCAGGTGCAGTGGGGAGTGGGGCTTCCTTTTGAGATCAGGGGTTTCCCCTCTATCCTCTCTAGGTGCACTCAGGGATATATATCATTTTTTCTTTCATCTCTAATTTCTTGCATTCTCTGTGCAGCCAATCAGAATGAGATAACGTTGCCTACATGTAGATGAGATCTCACCAGTAACTAGGGAACTTTCCTTCATCAACCTCACCCATGTCCTGTTTTTTCTTTCTCCACAAAAGGACATGCTGGGAATTCTCATTGTCCCTGAGAAGCACCTGCACAGCCCAGGCTCTCTGTGAGCTGAGTGCCTGTTCTCTGCCCTCAGTGGGCACACATTGCCTCCACATGGTTATGAGCATCCCCCCAGGATGTCTGCCCCAAGTGGGTCCTGTCCTCCAGGCTACAGTTTATCCTCTGGCTCACCATGCACATGGTGGACACAGGTGATAGGAACTGCCCCTCTGTAGGCACTACTCAGTCTTCTGGATGGAAAAGAAGCCCACCTAATGGGAGGGGCTCTCAGATTTCCCCACGAAACAGGTGGGATGACAAGCCAGAGAGGAAAATCCATCCCAATCCTGCTTGGTCCTTCTCTGGAGGGACAATACATGAGAGCAGCCTTGGGGGCTGTGTCTGAAACTTGTTTCCTGGCTTCCACACAGGGAATCCATGTGAATCCTGAGATCCAGCTGGCAGAGCCCAGATCCCTGCCCATCATGTGCTGTCCCCCAAGTATCCTACAGAAAACCACCCTGACCTCACTCTGTCCTGCTTCTAACTTCTCCCTCAAACTGTCCTAGACACTGTGCCCCATGGGGCTGGAGCACTGTCCTTCTTTCCTGATCCCCACCAAGTGCCAGATGCAAGTGAGACTCAATAATGAACATCTACCATAATGGCAGAGCCCTAAAGTGAGACTGAAATGGGGACCTATAGCCTAAAATATGACTCAGAAGAAAAATAATATGTCGACTAGTAATGAGACAATACTGACATTTCCTCTCATGTCCCTGCTTTTGTCTCATCGTTCGGATCTTGTTTCCCCTAGAGAATTCAAAAATAACTTCTAGTTTTCTAGCTCTTTGATTTTTCTTCTGTTATTATTATAGAAGACCCCTATGGTAGGGGGATAAGGTGTGGGTATAGGACAGGTGTCTGTAATCTATGGTTGGTCTTTCTATCCCGGACCTGAGACCTTTGATGTCATCCTCACAAGAGAATCTCAGGTTAACCCTCCCTGAGGTGACACAGGAAGGCCTAAGGAGAGGGGAGAGAAGGGGGCTGCTTCCCTTACCCCACACAGAAATCTAGAATGGACTGGATTTTGGCATTTACCGTCCCCCAGGTCTTGAATTTTCTGGCAAATTTCTCAATAGCTTCTTTCCCTGCCCCTGTTTGAAGCACAGCAAATGTTCCTCCTTTCTTTCCTGGGGGAATGAGGTGGGACTCCTGGACCTAAAACACAAGCTTTTAGGACACCCCTAAGATTGCCACCACTTCCACAGGAGTCTCAATCAGACATCTCCGCACTGAAACTTCAGCAATTCACCATCTACAGTTCAATTTTCCTACTTTCTTGTGGGTCCTGTGGATATTTCTGTGGGTGGGCTCTGCCCTGGTAAGTTGTGATTCCCTGTATATGCCTGTTTGTAAACTCAATTTTGGGGTCACAGCTTACCCAGCACTATGATCTGAATGTATGTGTCCCCTGCAAATTCACATGTTGTAACCTAATGTCCAATGAGATGGCAGAGGAGTGAGGGCTTCTGGAAGAGTGTTAGTTCATAAATGGAATGAGAGCTGTTATGATAGACCCCACAGGATCCTAAAAACCTTCCATTTACCACGTGAAGACATAGTTTAAAGACATAGCCAATGATCCTGACGTGAGGCACTCACTACACAATGAATATGCCAATACCTTGATCTTGCACTTCAAATACTCCAGAAATGTGAGAAATTCATTTATAAGTTACCCAAGTTTATGCTTTCTGTTATACCATTCTGAGAATTGGGGTGCTGCTGTAACAAAGACCTAAATCATTGAAGCGGTTTGGATCTGAGTAATCGGTAAGGGCTGGCACATTTCTGAGATGTG